TCCTCTCTCTCTGCCTACCTGTGATCTCTGTCAAATAAATAAATAAAATCTTTAAAAAAAGAAAAGAAAAGAAAAAGAACCAGTGGAAATTAGCTTATTTGTGCTTAAGGGTTCCTCGGGCAGCACCCAAGAGACCAGCAAAACCTACACAGTTTGGGGAATGTTAAGTATGACGGTAGGATTAAGTGGCTGAGGAAGGGTTTGAGATTTAGGAAATGAGATCTGGCATGGAGAGAAGGCTGAGAATCAAGGAAGATCTAGGGTTGCAAAAAGGACAGGAACTGTGTGGCTAATCTGGTTTAAGGTGCACTTACTATATTGTTGAGAATGTTTACTTCAACCGTGGGAAACAATTGGAATGTATGTAACACAGGAAGCACATTAATTAGAGGTAAGTCGGAGCCTCCGTGGCGCAGTGGGTGCAGCATGTGACTCTTGATCTCGTGGTTTTGAGTTCACCCCGCATTGGTTGCGGAGATGACTTAAAAAAAAAAAAAAAAAAAAAAAAAAAAAACCTTTAGGGGCGCCTGGGTGGCTCAGTGGGTTAAAGCCTCTGCCTTTGGCTCAGGTCATGATCCAAGGGTCCTGGGATCAAGCCCCGCATCGGGCTCTCTGCTCAGCGGGAAGCCTGCATCCTCCTCTCTCTGCCTGCCTCTGTGCCTACTTGTGATCTCTGTCAAATAAAATAAAATCTTTTTTTAAAAAATCTTTAAAAAATTATAGATCAGTTAGTAACCAGTAAGACAGATTAGATTTAGATAGGCAGAGTACAGGTGCAGAGAGCCCAGAAAGAAATGGAAAGAGGCACCTAATACTCTTCTTTAGCCTAACCCTGAATACTCTTACACAGCTCTAACTATGAACTTAACATGGCCACCCATCGTGGACCCCCCCCAATCCAGCCCCCCAAGTACTCCGCTCAGGTAGTGAAAATAAGTTCCATAGCTGTTCATCAAGCTAAGGAGAGCTAGGAGTGCTGGCCGCGGTGTCTGCGGAAGAGGAAGCCCGTGGGATTGTGTCCAGGTACCTTCCTTCTGCAGAAGCCCTGCCCACCAATGTCAAGTTCTCGTCCTCCGCCCTTGACCCGAGTCATGCACCCGAGACCCGTCCTGGGAACATCACTTGAACCCGTCCTGCGCGCGTGTATCGCATATGCGCATACCCCGTGCCCTGAGAATTTGAGGAGATGGATTGAAGACCAGTCTAGCGTCTTCATTTGATCTGCGAGCTTTTCTGATGCTTTGCAGGCTCGTACACGGGGAGGTAGCGCTACCGCTGTATTCCAGTCCTTTCTTACCTTAACCTTTCAAAATCCCCAAGAACGCTTTCTTCTAGGAGCAAAAAGTGGTCCATCAACCACCCAGAAACTAGGACTCTTCTAAGGAGAGCCCCCGCCACCAGCTGCTGCTGTTGCTTTTCAATGGGGTTTCACTTCAACCCCACACAGAGGCGCCTATTCAAATGCCTACCTTCCAGCATCCTTAATCGAACTAACTTCCTGCGCCTTAAGCTTTTGTCTGCCCCAACTGGCTTCTTTATTTAACAAATTCCCTTTATCTCCCGCTTGAGGCGAAGCTCACTGGGCCCCAGGAGGCAAGCAATATTTACTAAAGTTCCTCCCCCACTTTCCTGCCCCTGTCTGGCGGGTGTCTGCCTTTACCTTCAGGTTTGCAGTCCTGGCCTGTTTTTTCCCTGTAGACACGAAGTTTTCTGAATAGGATTATTCAGAACAGAATGAAGCGTGTCCTTTACCCCGAGAACCAGGTGCTTGAAATTCAGTAAGCAAGGCTTCTAATCCTCCCACTCGAGAGCTTTGAAGCCAGACTGAAATTCAGGAGAGCCAGGCAGATCGACCCAAGGGTGCTTTTCCCTTTCAGGTAGAAACTGAGAGGAAAATGCAAGCTGAACATGAAGAACACGTGAGTAAAAACTAAAATATGGTAAAGCAAATAAAACAGGACACTGGAAGTAACAACCACGTCCTTTTGGAAGATGGAGAGAGCAAGATTTTCCAAAAGAAAAGGAAGTGAAAAGATGGAGGGCGTGGCAGGTGAATTTATAAGTAATTCACCTTTGTGCCATATCTCTTATTTTGCTAGTACATATTCTGGGTGAATCTGTGACCAAAAGGATAAACTCAACGGCTTTAAATTGAGTTTGCAACCTCTCCTAATTCTTGGCAACTTCTTCAAGCTTTTATGAGGCTTACTTATGGAGACAGTGAATTTTTTTTTTTTTTGCTTTTATTAACTTTATTCTCAAACAGCAATCTTCTACCTTCCTAGGTATTTATAATACATATATATGTTATACATATTTCTGTTTATATTGTTATATATTTTTATATATGATATATATGTTTATATATATTTTTTTAAAGAACCAGATTTTTAATTTTATTATTATTTTTATTCCTTTTTAATCAGAGAGAGAGTGAGCACAAGCAGGGGGAGAGGCAGGCAGAGGGAGAAGCAGACTCCTTGCTGAGCAAGGAGCCCCATGCGGAACTCGATTCCAGGACCCTGGGATCATGACCTGAGCCAAAGGCAGCTGCTTGACCGGCTGAGCCACCCAGGTGTCCCTATATATAGTTATATCTTGTTTTATATATATATATTACATATATATATATATATATATATATATCTTATATATATAATAAATATATATGTTAATAGCAACATGGTTTATAGTGGCAAATAACCAAAATGGAAGCAATTTTAATTAAGTTGTAGTGCATCTGTAATAGGTAATATTATATAACAATTGAGTCAAATCTTAATTTACTCACGTGGAAAAATCTCTATGATACATTCTTTGAAAACAAAAGAACAGGGCACCTGGGTGTCTAAGTCATTGAGCGTCTGCCTTCCACTTGGGTCATGGTCATCGGGTCCTGGGGTTCCCTGCTTAGTGGGAAGCCTGCTTCTCCCTCTCCCATTCCCCCTGTTTGTGTTCCCTCTCTGTCAAATAAATAGATTTTTTAAAACTGTTAAAAGAATTAAAAAAAATAAAAACCAAAACCATGAACAACAACAAAAAACCACCTGGTTGGCACAGTTGGTTAGCATGCTGTTCTTGATCTCTGGGTCAGTGGGTTTGAGCCCCACTTTGGGTATAAAGATTACTAAACGAACAAAAAAACCCATAAAACAAAAAACAAAACCCATTCGTGTTTCTGTGTTCACACGCACCATCCATTTGATCTTATTTATTTATTTATTGTAAGTAAGCATTCTGCCCCTCCTGGGACTTGAACTCACAAACCTGGAGATCAGGAATCACTCGCTCTCCTGACTGAGCCAGCTGGGCACCTCCTCTATGACATACAAATATTTTTTTTTCCCTGATATATTCTTAAGTAGAAAAAGCAGGTTGCAGAACAAAATGCATGATGGAATTCCATATTTGGATAGGAAAATTGTGTTATAATTCTGTTGTGTGTCATGTATACACATGGAAATGTCTGCAAAGATAATTTGAAAGTTAACAATGATGTTAAAAAGTTAACTTTTGGGGTGCCTGGGTGGCTCAGTGGGTTAAAGCCTCTGCCTTCGGCTCAGGTCATGATCCCAGAGTCCTGGGATCAGCCCCTATGGGGCTCTCTGCTCAGCAGGGAACCTGCTTTCCTCTCTCTCTCTCTCTCTCCTGCCTACTTGTGATCTCTGTCAAATAAATAAATAAAATCTTAAAAAATTAAAAAAAAAATAAATAAAAATCTTAAAACAAGCTTATTTCTGGCCAGCCTTTTCTCCTCTTTTAGTTCCCTCTACCTTCCATTATTAGCCTCTTCTCTGGCTGCCCTACATTTAAGTCTCTTACAAACCTAAGAGTCTGTTCGTTACTTCCCTTCCCCAACTTTTAACTGCAAATAACCGCAAATTTTATTGTGTCAATACCATTACACACATAAGGGAAATAAATTAGTTCAGATTTAATTGACTAGTCACCTAGCAACTAAGTATATATAGTTACCTTTACTCATTTCTAAGATAGCAGCCTCCTCAGTGGCTAGAGAAATTTCAGTTAATTGTTTCCCCAACATGTTAACAGTATAAAGACCCATGTTGGGGCGCCTGGGTGACTCAGTGGGTTAAGCCTCTGCCTTCAGCTCAGGTCATGATCTCAGGGTCCTGGGATGGAGCCCCGCATGGGACTCTCTGCTCAGAAGGGAGCCTGCTCTCCCCGCTCTCTCTGCCTGCCTCTCTGCCTACTTGTGATCTCTGTCAAATAAATAAAATCTTAAAAAAAAAAAAAAAAAGACCCATGTTGGGCACCTGGGTGACTCAGTGGGTTAAGCATCTGCTTTCTGCTCAGGTCATGATCCCAGGGTTCTGGGATCTACTCTCGTGGGCTGAGCTCCTGCTTCTCCCTTTCCCTCTGCCAAATAAATAAAATCTTTAAAAACTAAATAAACCCTGTTTTAGTCCAATTTTTACTCACTGTACTACTGGTAAAATCAAGGTAGAGACCACAAAGGGTTAAGTGGGTATTTTTATTTATTTGTACTTAAACCTATCCACCAACCAGCCAAACTGGTACTATTATCATATGTTAAAATACAAAACTTCTTTCTACAAATACTAGAATTAACAGTTCTAGTAAAACCTCACAAGGGGCAGAGGAAATCAATGAAGCACATTATAGTTTTACCCTTCACCATTAAAAACTAAGGTTGTTAACAAGATAGCCTCACAATCTCAGAAGATACCATTATCCTTCATTACATGTTTATCTTTACTTCCTATTCTTGAGGTTAGATTCTAGAGCCTGAAGATACCCACAGTAGGACTGTATCCAGTTAGCTACAGCCAGAAACACCTGTTCCATGTTGTGCACATCCAATGCTACTGAGAGCTTTAACTCCAATCGTACCCCCTCAATAGATACAGTAAGAATGGGAAATACAATATTAAGGCAAAGATACAGGACTCTAAAAGACAAAGCCTAGGAGACGTGAAACAGCCATCGCCCAAACCAAGATCGAGTAATACTCGTCGTCACACTTCTTCAGGCTGGATGTTCACAGAGTAATTTGGGAACAAATCCATGATTTGCTGGGTACTAAAATACTTAGCGGACTGCTGTATTACACTATAGCTTTCCCCAGAAGTCTCTAAGAGGGACTCCAAATCGCTGACAGAATTTTGCTGGAACTGGATCTGGGGCTGCAGGGATTCCTCTCCACAGCTGTGGAGCTGGCTGTTCCAAGCTTGGGGGCACCAGGTCTGACTGGTCCAGGAGTGGTTGCTCCAAGATTGGCTGTTCCAGGTCTGGTTGCTCCAATTCGGGTTATTCCAGGTCTGGCTACTCCATATTGGAAGGTTTCCGGAAGTGTTCATCAGGTGTCCCTGGTGGTAGGAGTAGAAGGCTGGGTATTCCATGGCTGCGGTGCTATTCTGAAAGGAAATGGCAGATTACCTGAAAAGCTCGGAGGGAAATCAGAATTGTCTGTGGCTGAGGTTGTCCGGTTTTTTTTTTTTTTTTTAAAGATTTCATTTATTTATTTGACAGACAGAGATCACAAGTAGGCAGAGAGGCAGGCAGAGAGAGAGGAAGGGAAGCAGGCTCCCCGCTGAGCAGAGAGCCCGATGCGGGACTCGATCCCAGGACACTGAGATCATGACCTGAGCTGAAGGCAGCAGTTTAACCCACTGAGCCACCCAGGCACCCTGTCCTGTTTAACAATAAACAAAATTAAGAAGTCAGTGAAAAGAAACCAGAAGAATAAAAGCTTCCCATTACCTGAGTCACACTCTTGCTCTCCTTTGGCCAGTGGTTTTTCTGCCACCTCTTACATTTCATTCTCTGGTTCTGGAACCAGGTCTTCACCTACCAAAAAAAAAAAAAAAAGACAGGAAAATATAAAATACTGGTATAGTGTGCATGTACCAGTATTGTTAATGTTTCCCCCACCTAACAAGCACAATTACCTAAAAATGGAGACTTCTAGAGTCCTTTCTGAAATCTGGAAACAACGCTCTGTGTATGAATGTCAAAGCCCCTCAAGTTAGTTGGCTTTAAAGATGGTCATTAGGAGTGCCTGGGTGGCTCAGTTGGTCAAGCGTCTGCCTCTGGCTCAGTCATGATCCCAGAGTTCTGGGATCTAGACTGCCTCTCCCTCCCCCTTCTGCCCTCTCTGTCAAATAAATAAATAAATTTTTTTTTTAAAGATTTTATTTATTTATCTGACCGAGATCACAAGCAGGGAGAGAGGCAGGCAATGATGATGGAAAGCAGGCTCCCTGCTGAGCAGAAAGCCCAATGTGGGGCTCAGTCCCAGGACCCCAGGATCATGACCTGAGCCGAAGGCAGAGGCTTTTAACCCACTGAGCCACCCAGGGGCCCCTAAATAAATAAAATCTTAAAAAAATAAAGTCAGTCATGAAATGTTATCAAGACCCCACTTTCATATTAAAATTATTTGTAGGAGGCACACAAACACAGCACACAGATGTTAGTACTGCTCATCCGCAAATAAGCCTTTTTTTTTTTTCTTCAAATAGCCTTTATTTATTTGTCACTGCAAGAACAACAAAAGACACCTTACCTGCTTATAGCTAAGGTTCAGAATGTTGGAAAGTTCTTGCATCTGCTGGAGGCTGAGGTATTTCTGCCTCTGAAATCGGTCATTGAGGACATAGAGTTGGGTCTGAGAGAATACGGTCCTGATCTTCTGTTTCTTGCTCTGGGCCGTATCTTCCTTCCTCCCCGTTCTCTCCTCTGCAGAAGCAGGCGGTAGTTTCACCTTGGGACTGGTGGAGGAATCGGGGCTGTCCTGAACAAGCAGATCCACGGAGGAAGGAAGAGGAGAGACTGTCGGGAATAAAACATTTTTCTCTGAAACTTTCCGAAGATTAAATCATACTCACAAATTTATTGTTTTCAAAGTATTTTTGAAGTTCTCACCACCTCAGAATTAGGTAGTAAATAAAAACTCTTACATGACCCCGAACACTTGGCTCACCTTTGTACGACGCCAACCCAGTAAGTGTGTAATAGCTGTGGCCATTTCACATCCAGTGGACATGGCCAACAGCTTACCTGCTGGGAAGCAGAGTGGGACTCGAACTTTTTTTTTTTTTAAACAATTTTTTTTTAAGTAATCTCTACACCCAACACGGGGCTCGAACTTACAAGATCAAGAGTCACACATGCTCCTCTAACTGAGCCAGCCAGGAGCCCCCTCGAACCTCTTTGACAAAAGATTATTACTGCAAATTAATGCTCCAGAGCCCACACTGTGGCTGCTTAGAAAGCTGGGAATGATCACTGGACTCCCTTCTGTAAAATTAGTCATATCATTTACATCAGATTCTGGGAACTTTCTAAAATCCACAGTTTAGGGGCACTTGGGCGGCTCAGTCGTTAAGCGTCTGCCTTCGGCTCAGGTCGTGATCCCAGGGTCTCGGGATCAAGCCCCCGCATTGGGCTCCCTGCTCAGCGGGAAGCCTGCTTCTCCATCTCCCACTCCCCCTGCTTGTGTTCCCTCTCTCACTGTCTGTCAAATAAATAAACAAAATCTTTAAAAATAATAATAATAAATAAAAATAAAATCCAGTTTACCACTGCCCAGTTCCAAATACCAGGACTAGCAGGAACTGAGAATTCTGACAGGCTTCAGTTTCAGTACAAACTCTGCCTTTACTAGCTCTGGGACCACATTTCCGAAAGTATTTCTGTCCTTCACGGAGTTCCTTCATTCATTAAAGCAAAGTGACAGAGAAAATTGCTTAGCACCAGGACTTCGGGTATATCGACTTACTAAAAATTTCTTTGGGACGCCTGAGTAGCTCAGGTCATGTCCTCAGATCGAGTCCTGCATGGGGCTCCTTTCTCAGCAGGGAGCCTGCTTCTCCCCCTCTGCCTTCCACTCTCCCTGCTTGTGTGACAAATGAAGTCTTTAAAAAAATAATAAAGTAAAAATGAATTTCCTATATTACCTGTATTTGGTAGCCTCTTAAACTCTTAATTGCATGGAGGTATTTATTCCCCATGCTCAATTTCAGTTGTCATGGAATAAAGACAACCTGTATGGGGCAAAAATTCACAATCTTTATGCTTCCTGTAAGTAGATCTAGATGAAAGTGGGGCTAGACCAAGGACTGCGGTGGGGCATCTCCTAACAACTCACTCTACAAACTTGCACTTGGCTTGCTAAGGAGGGCATGCCCACCTGCTTACACCTACTTGCTCATACCCAAGCTGTTTCTCACGACTCAGCACTTTACTTCCAAAGTTTGAAATTATGAAAGGACATCAGCCCGAAGTTTAGGAAAACAGGGTAACATTAAAATCTAACATTCCATTAAAGTAGTTGTCTACTTCCTCCTTCCGCACAGCTTAATTTTAGGGGCAATCATCATGTAAAGAACTTTTAAGTCTTAATTATCTTTATCCTAAGTCTTTAAAAAATGATTTTTACCACAAATCTTTAAAAAATGGTAAAAATTTACATTTTCATTTTCAACAACTCCTGCCTGATTTACAGAAAGTACTACCTTTACAGTGTCCTGAGCAACCCCCCCCTCCCCCTGTGGTCACCATTTAGAAGCCAACCAGAGTTTCAAATTTGGGCTCTAGCCACTCTGTCAGCAGAGTAAACCTAGAATTAGCTACCATAAAATGGAATGCACATCATCCCGGCATGTAGGAGACGTGGGCATAGCAGGCTCCCAAGATCTCAGAACTGCCCGGGTTTAGTAACTCGCAGAGCCCAGGAGTGGGAGAAGAGGCGATTACTCGTGTCGCACAAAGGCAAAAACGTTTCAATAAGGCGAGATTCACAATTACCACGCCGTTTCTGGCACTCCCCTGAAAGAGACTAATCAGAAAGTTCAGAAGCTCCCGCATCCCCCAGCTGCGGTGCCAGGACTTCTGGCTCTAGTAGTGACACCCCTACTGCGTGCGCTCTGCACCGAGAGAAGATTAAGACGATCAGCTCACTTATTCCGGCACATCTGCGTTTCCACAGTGCCTAGGCACCTCATCGCTCAAGTACGCAGTGAACGGTCCAGATGCCGGTACCCCGAGGCCCTAGTCTCTCGACTGAACCTGGGACAGGTGGAAGGGCTCCCGCCACCAAGTTACAACCAAGACAGGTGCCGAGAGGATTCACTGGGGACACCTGCTAGTATGAATGGCCTACAATTGCTCACGAGGGAAAGGAAGGACCCTGACCCTCCTCCTGCTTCACGTTCCATCAAGGAGATCAGCTTTCCGAGGATTCGTGTCTGCCTTACCGGTCTCCGCGGGGGGCGTCTCAGCAGATGACATTTGTAGGGACGCGTAATTTTCTTCAGGCCTGCAAACCTCAGGCATTGGAGAAGAGTCCCTAGACCCGGGCGTTCTGGGGCCAGGCGGGCACTGGGGCGGAGCTGGATCCGCACTCATGTTGGGGAGTTGAGGGTTGGGCGGGGTGGGGGGGGGGGAAGAGCAAGATTGTAAGGAAGGCCCAGGCTTCTGGATCCAGGTGGAAGAGCCGAGAGGAATAGGAAGACGTCCAGGTGTAAGAGTATGAGAAAGACAGAATGAAAGGGGTCACCCCCGAAAGGGCTGGAGCCAAGCAGCCCAATGGAGTCAAAGGTGAAGAGTCTCAAGGCTCTAGATTTATAAGGAAGGCTCCGCCATCCTCAGACCCGCCCCTCCTGGCAGCCCCACGCCCACACACACCCTTGCGAATTCTCGGTTAATCCTGTCTGCCAGTCTCACCAAGGCCATTGTCATGTAAAAGATGGCTGCCGGGTAGTTCAGACTGGGTGGGGAACGGGAAAACGGGGGGCCCGGGATCTCGAGAGAAAAAGCAAGCCCAACAATTAAATATTTCTGGGTTCGCCATGTTTCCATCTTTTCAAATCAGAGATGCACCTGAGGCTACCTAAGGTGATCGAATCTTCCACTAGAACAATTAATTTCTTGATTTAAGACCCCTTAGGGTCTCCAAATGGAGCTACTGCTGGCAAAAGCTTCACCCAGGGAGCTTGGTTTCCATCTTCGAGTCCCCCTAAGGTCACAATAAAACACTTATTGTGTGTTGCTAAAGTGTCAGTTGATATTAAAAATAGGACTTGTTTTCAAGGTGCTCTCATTGGTTTTTTTGTTTTTTGTTTTTTGTTTTTAGCTTTGAGAGAGACAGAGAGCCGGGCAAGTCTTTCCCCCAGGACTGTTGTCTCCTTTTTAATAAAAGCCCGAGGAAAGGAACTGTAGCCGCTGACCCGCTGATTTTGGTGCCTGCAGGTAATAGTTACACATAGGTTGTCAGTATGGGAAATTTATAAGTGGTTTTCATATACCTGTTGCTTAGTTTCCTCATCTGTGCCTCTTTCCGTGTTGCTGTAAAAAGTAAAGAAAATAAAGACTTAAATCCTCCTAATAGTTCTCAACACCCATCACCTACAAATCGGGGCTCTTAAGAGAAATTCTATCATTATCCTATGCTCACGATCTCCCAAGTTCGAAACTACCTTTTTGTTGTGATTATTATTTTAGTCCAGTGAACAACATGATAGATTGAGGGCACCCCTTCTAATTCTATCTGGGACATTCCTGGATGTAAAATAATGAAATTTCTTGACCTGGAAAGAGGGAGGCCAAGAAGAACATCTCCCTGAGCAAATGATATTCCTGTAAATGGTCTTGCCAAAGCGTTTGTGACCAGTGCCTTTTAGAATTTCTGTTGGACCCTCCTAAGCAAACATCTTCTTCCGGCCTTTCTTTCCCCTTCTGGCTCTTTTTTAAATCCATTTTTCTTTCTCTGGCCTGGCATTTCTGCCATGTCCTGCAACTCCACTCCATCCCCACTCTGAAATTGGTTTTTTCGTTTTTTTGTTTTGGTTTCTTCCATATGTTTTCCAAAGGACCAGTTGTATGGTTGGGTTTCAGCACAAACATATTTATAGACAAAGATAACAGTTCGCAGAACTCAATTTTCCTCCCCACTCTTAAATTCAATATTCGAGAAAGCTAAGATTTCTTCCTCTTTTCAGTCTCCTACTCCTCTAAGTAAACCCTTAGCAAATTTAATTATATCTTTTTCGGAGGTGCAAGCCAGACTAATCCTCGCATGCGCTCTGCTCCTTGGGTCTCCTCCACCTAGACCTGCTGGCTTTACTGTCGCAACAATTTCTGTTCTTAACTCAAGGATGCCAATTTGTGAGCCTAGGAGGGATCCCAGGACCAAAGCACGGTTATCCAATTCTCTGTAATCTTTTCTTTGTCTTCTCAGACCATCATTCTGGAAGGGAGAAGAGTAAAGATAGAGCTTCAAGGAAGAGGTGGGTGGAAATACATTGGGTTCAGGCAGACAGTCTCTCTCTCATTACAGATAGAGTATGATTTTTTTTTTTTTAAAGGGGTAATGTGAGGGATGGATGGAGTGAACGAATTGTGGTGATCTACTTGCAACATCTACGTGTATCAGTCCCTTAAGTCCCTTTAAGGTGTGTTGTGCACCTTAAACTAATACAATGCCATTTGTCAATTACGTCTCAATAAAACTGGGGGAAAAGTAAACATAAAAGAAGAAAACTTGACTTCCTGGCTTTCAGTTAGCACCAAACGCCTTAGTTTGCCCTCAGCTCTCTAAACCGCAGGTCCCAGAAGCTTTGTTCTTTGCTGACGGGGGTCTTCGCCTAAAGCCTGGGCCAAATTCCCTCCCACCCCCCACCTGTGTCTCATTGTATCTGGGGTCAGAGCCTCCGGAGTGAAAGACCAAAGGGAAGTGGGCTGGTAGCTAGAAGGCAAACTTACTACATTCTTTGCCCAGGAAAGCAATTTGAATAAGGTTGAGAGAATGCTTAGGAAGGTGTCAGAGACCTTGGATTTGTCTGGGTGGGCTGTGTGGGTGGAGGAGGGGTGTGTTACAAGTAGAGTCCAGGCCTGCAAATGCAAAAGTGATTTTAGATTTTGTTTTCCAAGGAGCATAATCCGGAAGGGAGAAGAAAAAAAGCGCTAAATATTAAAAATGAAAAATATTTTTTCAGAAAAGATTTATTCCTCACTTAAAGCTAAGAAATGCACGTTAGGAGACAGATTCTTTGAAGAGCACAGGTGTCCCAGCTTTGCATCAGATTTTGCTGACCTGTCAGGAAGCGACAGTCATGATGAGTATTAATATAGACTTCACTGCCCCTCGATTTTCAGGCATAGTGTACGGATCAAACGTGGAATTATCAAATTTATTATTAATTTATCACTGGTGGGATCATCGGATTGATTATCAACTTATCATTGTTTTTACCCTTCACCCATTGTCCATTTGAGTTTACTTGAGTGTAATCCAAACTGGGAGGCGGTCACCTGTTTTCACTTAATTCTCATATAAGTTTCTGCCTCTGTTTCTCGATTCTTTACGTTGTTTCACTCTACGTAATAAATCCAGTCTATAAGTAGCTGTTTCTTGTCCCTATAAGTACAAACGTATGTGTTTATAGATATAGTTAGTGATTTTTAACATTTATAGGCTAGGAACTATTTGTTGCTTATTCAACTAATAGTTCATGAGTGCCTATCTTATGCTGGAGAGAAAAGAAATAATTAAACAACATCTCCACTTCTGAGGAGCTAACAATTTATTGAGTAGATCAAAACAGACCAAAAGACAATTATAATGTCGTGTGATGAGTACCGAAAATAAAAAACCAAAAATGACATGTGCACTAGATGCTGAGGGAGAACAAACAAAGGAAGATGTGGCTAGGGAGGGCAATCAGAGAAGACTTCTTGGAGGATTTTTGATTGAGCGGAGATGGAAAAGCTGAAAGCGTAGGGAAGTGAATTCTGGGAAATGAACACTTTTGGCAAAGGCAAAAGTCAGTGTCTTAGAGAAAATAATGAATCATTGGAAAATATGGTCATGAGATCTGAGAGGTAATAAAGTGACCACAAATAGTAAAACAACAACAAACAAACAAAAACTGCATTTTTAAAAAAGATTTTTATTTATTTATTTGACAGAGATCACAAGCAGGCAGAGAGGCAGGCAGAGAGAGGGGAGGAAGCAGGCTCCCCGCTGAGCAGAGAGCTCAATGTGGGGCTTGATCCCAGGACCCCAAGATCATGACCTGAGCTGAAGGCAGAGGCTTCAACCCACTGAGCCACCCAGGTCCCCCCAAAACTGCATGTTTTTTAATTAATCCTCCTTTCCTTAGTTTATACTGTGTTAGTGTTCCACCTACTATACTGATGGTTCTCTGTCTCCTTTCTGGTTCTTCTCATCCCCAGACATCTAAAAGTTAGAGTGTACCAAAGCTTAGTTCTCAACCCTCTCCTTTCTTCTTCTTTTTATTTTTTTAAGATTTTATTTATTTGGCAGAGAGATCACAAATAGGCAGAGGGGGAGGAGAAAGCAGGCCCCCTGCTGAGCAGGGATCTTGATGCCGGGCTCAATCCCAGGACCCTGGGATCATGACCTGATGACCTGAGTTGAAGGCAGAGGCTTAACCCACTGAGCCACCCAGGTGCCCCCTCTTCCTTTCTTCTTTTTTCTTTTTCTCTCCCTTTCTTTCTTCCTTCCTCTGTTCCCTTCCTTCTTCCCTTTACTCCCTCCCTCCCTTCCTTCCTTTCTTCTCTCTCCTTCCTTCCTTTCTTCTTTCTCTCTCCTTCCTTCTTTTCTTCCCTCCTTCCTGCTTTCCCTCCTTCCTTCCTTCCTTCTTCTGTTCCCTCCCTTCCTTCCATTTTATTTATTTGAGAAAGAGCGCACGCACATACGTGGAGAGAGGTCAGACGGAGAAGCAGACTGCCGCTGAGCAGGGAGCCTGAGGCAGGGTTGGATCCCAGGATTCTGAGATCATGACCTGAGCCAAAGGTAGACCCTTAACTAACTAAGCCACCCAGGCGCCCCTCAAACCTCTTTTCTATCCACACTCAGTATATTGGTGATTTTCCCGTCTTATGACTTTCAATACCATCTATATGCTTTTTTTTTTTTTTTTTAAGATTTTATTTATTTTGAGAGGCAGAGCGTGAGCGAGCAAGCCCAGGCAGGGGTGGGACAGAGGGAGAGGCAGACTCCCTGCTGAGGGTGGAGCCTGCCCTGAGGACCTGACTTGACTCTGGGCTGGATGTCGGGACCCAGAGGTCTTGACCTGAGCTTAAGTCAGATGCTTACAGTGCCCCCCTAACTATATACTTTTGACCTTTAAATGTACGTCTATCCCAGACTTATTCCCCAAACACAATCTTATATATTCAACTGCTGACCTAACATCCACATTTGGATTTCTAAAAAGCATCACAAAATTAGTATTTCAAACTAATATTGAAATATTAGACGGGTTCCTCTTACAGTCTTCTCCATCTCTGTGTGTGCCAATTCATCTTTTTAGTTGCTCTGGCCAAAACCTTAATGCCATCTCTGTTGACTGTGCCTTCAAAATATGTCTTGAATCCAGTTA